TTTACGAAGGTAAAAACAATTATCATAATTTTCAAGAAACAAAGGTTTATTTTTCCATTTAATATCACAACATCATATTGTTTCATATAATACAAAAATACAATATATGTACATAGACGCAACGTATGAAAATAACGAGAGTATTTATCAACTTTTTAGTGCCATTTTTTGACACTTGTGGCAATTTGCACTTACAAAAGAGAGTTAAACTTAATTTGAATTTTTTAATTACAATAGAATTTCAGCTATCCGGCATGCTCGGAATCAAAGCAGTGCCGGATAATTAAAATCGAATTGAAGACCTAAAAGAATTTTTTACGTAAAGGGAAGAGAAAAAAATATGAAAATATCCTAACAATCAGCGGCGCAAAATGATTACACAGTTCTTGCTCAAAATTATATACTTACAGTGATTTTATGCGTTGAAACTATAGCATATATTAACATAATTATTAGACTGCAGCTTTTATGCCTATTTATTGTTATAAGTATAAAATTAGTGATATAAAATTATAAAACAGGCGAACGAGCTCCAATAATACACACACAATGGTCAATATATAATCCTAATAATTATTATAATCCCAACATGAAATTCGTTATCTATTTTCCATTGTTTCCCGTGCATCACTGTTCGTTAGAGCATTGTCCTCGTTTATTGTAACGAATGGTCGGTACTACCTACCTAGTCCTACTAATATTCAAAAATCCCGCTCCATTTCCTTTCCTATTCGACGGCTCATGATGGTTATTTTGATGATGCTTGATTACTTTCATCTTCCTGCATTGTACGACTCTCATCTCTATTATCCTGTTCATTGCTGTTATGTTTTGTATTTTTCTTTTGTATATTTAAATACATTTTGTTAATCATACAGTACACTCTACCCTCTCTTTATCGATCCTTTCCATAGTTAGTTCCCAACAAAAGTAGCATGAGATCAGCCAATGTAGATATTAGTAATAACGTATTGCACAAAATATACATTCTTAATTATGAATTATAAGTTATGTTCTAAATGCATGTGTTTCAGCAGCTTTTATTATAAAATGTTTGACTAAGGATCCATCTAATTCAACGAAATTTGGAGTTCTTATCACTGCAGTCATCTTTCTTGAAGCAAATTTAAAACAACAATCTTCTAATTCCTAAAAAATGGTATAATAAATATAATTTAATACTGCATACACAATATATTTTAATACTACGCGAAACATTCATAAGAATATACCTTATTATGAAATTTAATAGCTAAGCTGTACACAAGTAGTACATTTTCCACTGTAATATTCTCATATAGTGATTGTACACAACATCTCTTTAATTGATTCATGGAATAATAATCTGCCAACTGTATCAGTTCTGTGGAAAAAGAAGAGTATAATAAGCAAAACTTATGTATGGTGACAAATTTATATATTTACCCAAAGTATCTGCTAGAGGCAGATCAATTTTTTCAGTATATAAATATTGAAGGAAAGCTTTGTACACGTCGTATGAAAACAACATCTCGTTCTCATCAAGCCTGAAAATAATGATTGGAGAATCGCACAAACCTTAAAACAATTTTAAATAATGTACAAGTTTTTATATTACATGAATTTACAAAGACATGCATTGTGGATACCTATTGTCTTCATCCACAGGATCTTTTAGAAACTTTTCTCTAAAGTGCTGGCAACGAAATATCAATATAGATTTGTGTACATGTATAGATTTTCCATGTATTGTAATAGTAAGGTCACTAGTAGTCTAGAATACACAACAAAAATTCAGTGTGTTGTATTAAAAAAGTGAATGTCCGCATTATATTCAAATACATACTTCATCGTTAAATGCATTTCTTAGGGAATCAAACAAATTAAACTTGCAGTTATTAAGAAGTGGTTGATGCATAACTTTTGGTACTGCGAAGCATGCAAAAGCATCATGGATGGAGCTCAAAGTTGTAAGAGTTGGCACATTGATGCTGTATCCTAAACACAGACCCCATACAAAAATACGATTGCCTTTTTCCATAGCTATACTTATGTTATGGTTAGCGGAAGTTGCTATATCCACTATGTTTCTTACTTTTTGCACCTTCAATTGGAGAGGTTTTTAGTAATCTGATTGAAGAGTGTAAATAATTAATAACATGTAAACAATTATTAACAACTTACTTTGATTGGATTATTGACGTTTTGTGTTGTGCCATTACCCAACTGCCCATATTTGTTTGAACCCCAAGTATAAACATTACCTTTATTACTTAATGCCATAATATGCATGTAACCACAAGCTACTTTTTCTGCAAGTAAAACTATCTATTACTAGTCTACTTATACCTCTAATGACAAAGAAATAAGTCATACTTATTGTAGTAAGTTCTTTCATTGCGGTTATGACATTATTAGTCCAAACATGAACTATTCCATCATCTGTGATCATTGCGTTAGAGCCATAACCACAGCTAATAGAAACTATTTTATTATTTATTACTTTAAATTTGTTCTCTATATGATTGTTGAATTGATAAACCTAAACGTGGTGAAACAATCTATTCTTATAATTTTTCTTCTTATAATTGTATTGTAATGGTCAAGAAAATTTTGTACCTTTTTGGAAAATGTTAATACCAAAAAAGAAGATCCTCCGCAGGCTATATCCTTTACCATTTCATTGTTAAATTTGTCATTTATCTTCTCCAGTTTACATTCATCGATAATAAGGTTGTTTGCATTATAGTACTTCTTATCAATGAGATATACCTATTAATTATTGTAATATTTAATACAACACACAAATTATTGTTGAATATTTATTATTATAATAAAATACCTCTCCTGTACATGCGAGTATGAAAATGTATGGTCCCCCCTTCATGTATGCTATGGTTTTAATATATAGTCCATTTATTGTTGTAATTAGTCTTGGTTTAAAGAAATTTCCAGAGCTGTGTGAAAATGTATACAACTTGTTATCTTCTGTTACAATTAAAGCATTACAAACAACTTGATCTGGCAATAAAATTCAATAATAAAGTATATTTGCTAACGTTTTACATATTATTACAAGTAACAAATTTGTCATCACCATATATGAAAGCTAATCGGATATTTTGTAAAAACTCTGGTGCTACCAAATTAAAAATTGGCCACCTTTTTAAATCGCCCATGTTGTTGAAAATCAGACAAAGCTAGACCAGGCTCTGCTATACCAACTGCTTCTTCTCTGATTGGTTGACGCTTCATAGTTTTAGGTAAAGAGAGGAAGTGGCGAGTGAACGATGTGGGCGCGAGGTGGCACGTGGTTCACTTGTAACACGTGCTGCCACTAGCCTCGGATCCGTTTCTTACGGATCTATTCGCGCATCCATTTGCCATTTTTTACCCTATATTTTCGTAGTCTGACGAAAAGATCTTCGTCTGATACGAATTTACTACACAGCAACGAATTCTACAGACATTTCTAAAGACGAGAAAATACCAATTGGCGGAGTGTGCACGATATCTTGCCGCCATGCGGCCATCGCTCGGCAGTGCCGTAGCTTCGCGGAACCGAAACCTACAGTACCGTACCACCGGCCTATATTCTTGTACATATGATCTTTCATACGTTTTGTCATAAAGCATCTTCTTATTACACTATACACTATACTCACATTATACATCAAACAACAGAGAACTGATCATCATCGTGTGATCGTGATGGCCATTGCTAATGTCAGATCACTCCGACATTCGCCATGTGCATAGTGGTGATCATGTGGTGGTGGTGATTGTCATATTATCATAAAGAGGAACGTATGATAACTCTTACTTAATTAACTATAAGAGTAATGTTCGAAAATGAAAAGTATTTTTATAATTACGGTGCACCAGTAGAAGATCATAGAACAGGGCCCTGTACAACTGATAATTTCTTCTTTACTATGTAAGGTTACAGTTTCCTAATGTCATCGGACACCTATTTGTTAAAGTTTATATTAAACGTTACGATATATTGACAATACAATTAAAGAAAATAGTAATAATGCCGGAACGAAAACGCTTAAATTATGAAAATAAAATTATACTGGCACCTATGGTGCGTATCGGCACGCTTCCTATGCGCCTTCTTGCGCTCGATTATGGTGCTGACATAGTATACACAGAAGAACTAATAGACTGGAAATTACTACGATCATTTCGTCGTGTAAATGGTAATTGAATAGTATTATATAAAAGCTTGTATAAAACCTTGTATATTTTAATAATTTATTTTCAGATGTTTTGGGAACAGTTGATTACATTGACAAAACAGATGGCACAGTGACATTTCGTACCTGTGCCAGAGAAAGGGATAAAGTGGTCTTACAAATTGGTACTTGCGATGCAACCAGAGCTCTAAAAGTGGGCAAAATGGTAGAGCAAGATGTTGCTGGTATAGACCTTAACATGGGCTGCCCTAAATTATTTTCCATGCTGGGGAAAATGGGTGCAGCTCTTCTTCAGGAACCAGAGATAGCAGCAAATATTCTGAGAACATTAGTCGACAATTTGAACATTCCAGTAACATGTAAGATTCGTGTACTGCCAGATCTACAAAAAACCATAGAACTTTGTGAGCATTTGGCATCCACTGGTATATCAGCCATAGCAGTTCACGGTCGAACAGTTAACGAAAGACCACAACATCCAAATCGTAATGAAGTATTGAAAACAATTTCCAGTAAACTTACAATACCGGTTATAGCAAATGGAGGCTCAAAAGAAATACAGACATATTTTGACATATTGAAGTAATACTATAGTAATTTATGCTACCGAATACTTGTGGTATGTTTTCCATGTTTTTATTTATAAGTAATTATAGGTGTTTGCAGATTTAAAGGAGTAACTGGATGCAGCAGTGTTATGCTTGCACGCGCAGCAGAATGGAATTGTTCTATATTTTGCAAAGAAGGTTTACTATCAATGGAAGATGTAATAAAGGCATATATAAAGTATGCCGTAGATTGTGACAATTCACCTTCTAATACCAAATATTGTATACAGAATATCCTTCGTGAACAGCAGGAGTCACCGTTGGGTAAAAGATTTCTAAATTCTCAAACGCTGGAGCAAATATGGTGAGAATACTATCTGACAAAGTATAAAACGAATCGTATGTAGCTGTACCAAATACACTAGCATCAGTTACATTATTTCAGTGACATTTGGGAACTAAGCGATTATTGTCGTACAAAGAGGAAAGAGTTTGAAGAGAAAGGTTTGCTAGGCAGATCTCAAGTTTCACCTATGAGAGAGGATGAAACGCATAACGAAGATCAGACGTGTAATAAAAGAAAGCTCACGGAAGAAGAGGATATAATTTTAATGCATTGCGCATTTTTAAGAAATAATTATGCATCGGATCTTCAATTACCGAAAACTATTTTACATAAATGGGCACAAACTCAAAGAAAAAAGATGCCGCAGTACGAGACTCAGCAAAAGGGAAAACTCTTTCGTTCTGTCATCACGGTGGACGGAAGAAGGTACGGATCATCCTTTTGGTAAGTAAATAAATTTGTATCGCATTATATATAAAGATTATACAATATACGTATTATTTGAATATTTCTAGGGAGAAAAACAAAAAGTGGGCAGAGCAAGGAGCTGCATTAGTTTGCCTATTTTCTCTGGGCCTAGTCAATGAAAAAACTATTGCTACAACTGGAAGTGCTCCTTCCTGATAAATCGAAATTGGAAACTCAGTATCTTTATAAATCTTTTGCATCGGTTTGTAAAACTCACAGACATTTCATAATGGTTTCGTTATCAGTGCAAGAACTTTTCTGTTACATTATGCTGTAATGTTTATATTTATTAATAAAAAAGAAATAGATCAAAGATATATTAAATCATATAGAATCAATGTTTCATAACAGTAGATAAATAAGTATGTATTTTCCGCGATTATATAAAGCAGATGATCTTGTCTTCGAACATACTATCTGATATTAGAAAGAAGTCACAAAGAAGATGGCACAGTCACGAGACAAGGTATAGTATATTCTCAATGAAAAGATCGAGTAGTTACATGCAATTATAATATGAAATCAACGATGCATGAAAAATCTAAAATTTCTGACTTTTTCCATGATACTAGATCACGATGTATCTGCTCTGAATTTATTCCGAGTTTGTTAAAGCACAAACGGTGACACAGATAGCAGCACGTGCACCGTAGACAGAATTCGGACATATAGCAATGCCGCTTGTACAGTTTTACGTCGATCGTGATTTCACGCGATTCGATGGCTTTCTTGTCCTTGATATCTAACGCGATGCTATTACAATCATACACGTTGCATAATAAATGTAGAAACGGGCGCAATTAGTGCATATAAACGGGCAACAAAATGAAATTCGGATCGGGAAAGTAGATTTCTTCCGGCAGAATCGAATCTGTAAAACAACCGGCCCGAACGAACATCTTTTTCCTGCAGTTGCCTTTCAAATCGACAAAATCATTTACAGTCCTAGAAATGTTTCGCTTGGCAAAAGAAAGATCCGGTATTTTTCTGTAAAGACGTGAACGATGAATAACGGAGGTACATAAAAATGTATAAGAATTGGAAGACGCGATCAGATTTTGGCACCGCTCGGTGCTCCTCTAGGTCTTTCTCCATCGAAAAAAAGTCAATGGCGGAGGTCAACGTCTTTCTCTCCGTTCAGAGAGTGACAAAGCAACCGATACGTCATCGATGCGCGTTCACGGTTCCGCTAAAAGTTTTGCAGCAGTACTGCAGTACTTTTACCCTTGACAACTTGTCGTGTAATCGCGGTAAATGTTCGTGCGCACTCGACGTGAAATCGTTACACTACCCTAAACTCTGCACGAACTTCAAGGCATTGGAAATTTGGATTTCGTTCGCGCCAGTGGTTCTCAAATCGATATTCCCTCCGCAAACGCATTAATTAACGCTGTGATTTTTACGTTCGCTTAGATCGGGTTTAATTGTGATCGGGGCGCTATACGCGTACATTGGCAGTATTTCATATCGAAATAAGTTTGAAACACAAATGTTCGAAGTTTCATTGGCGAACCGTCCGTTTAAATTTCGAAATCTATCCCTGCGTATTCTTGCGGCCTAGAAAATGCTGCCACCTATCGCGCATAGAAAAATTTCTTTAACACGGTACACACAGCCACCGATACGAAATTCTCCCACGAAATTTTCACGATTCCACAGAATTACTTTTCAAATTGTTCACAAACAGATGTACCCCGTGAATCTTCTAGATAACGATTAGATTAGCTATCCAGGAACAAGTATCGTTATACAATTCAGTGCAAAAATGGAATATCGCGCGCTTTTACATAATAGATGATACCGACTGGTGTTAATGAATCGCATTTGAAAACAAAAATAACAAGGGGGGTGGATAACTCATTCACAAACAGCTTACTATGCAAACATAGAAGCGTAACGTGGCTGTTTAAGAGCCCCGCTATTTATAGCTGAGCGTACTATTACGACGATTAAAATGAATCATCGTGTCACGCCGTGTTCTGGCACGTTTTATTGTGGTGGTTTGGCAAATAATGTAGCCGAAATGTACACCGGGTTATCGTACAATTTTCAAGTGGCGATATTTCCGATCAGGTCGAATACTAACGACCTTCTTAAGAACGGGTTCTCGGATGTCGCGCGTCGAGTAATCTCATAGACCACCGTTTCACGGTTATATGGATCCGAGCAAGAATAGAATTTCTGCGACATTTTTACATCGGCCGCCAGAAACGCTATTTTCGAATGTCGCACGGGCGCGCTGGGCCTCAACGATAATTGAAAATTAATAAGACAGTCTTCCTCCCCCCCCCCCCTACCGAGCATCGTTTCGAAAAATTCACTGTAATTCCTGGCAAAACGAATTCTTTCGGTGGTCGCGCAACCGTCGTTCTTCTAAATGTTTTCTCCTCGTTTACAATCCTTCATGCTACGTTGCACCCGTGCATGGCAGCTGAAATAGCGCATCGCGCGATCTAACGCGTATAATATGTTCGAAGACCAAGCGTTTCTGATCGCGCGCACAACGTTAAACAAAGTTACCGCGCGAACGCTAATTGGTTCCCGGTGTTTCGTCGTTCGCGAGAAATCGGTTTACAATTAGCATCGGCGACGATGAATCGAGTTCCGCCGCGGTTTCAACTTTCAAGGGTCGCGCCAGCCACCAAAGAGCACCAAAGCTCTCTTGTTTGCGATTTCGTTTCCGCGGGCCGCACAATGCGCTTCTAACGAGTCGAAGGAAAGAAACAAAAAGACGAATCAGAGAGAGAGAGAGAGAGAGAAAGAGAATGAAGAAGAGAGAGAGAATGAGGGAGGGAGAGAGAGAGAGAATGAAGAAGGGAGAGAGAGAGAGAATGAAGAAGAGAGAGAGAGAATGAAAAAGAGAGAGAGAGAATGAATAAGAGAGAGAGAGAGAGAGAGAGAATGAAGAAGAGAGAAAGAAAGAATGAAGAAGATAGAGAGAGAGAATGAAGAAGAGAGAGAGAATGAGGAAGAGAGGGGGGGGATACAGGCTGTCGCATCGACGAAAGCGGGTCGGATCTCGACATCATCTGTGTCTTCTATTGTCCGTGATGCGAGGAGAGGAAAACCGGGCCGCGATGCTATCGATCATTGCTATGGTATTTGACAGAACGACGTGCCAGCGTTGTTTCCGTTTCGCTCGAACGGACAAGCAAACACTGTCATTTCGGAATAGGAGTCGAATGGAGGAGCCCTAACCCGATTCGGGCTTACGGCAAGCTCCCTGCTCTCCGACTCCCCTCTATAATCATAACCGAGGGCAATCTAGAATCGTTGCCCCCCTGAGGGCAAGGTGGAACACCGCGTAACCGTGACACAGGCCGACGACCGTCGACACGATCGTCGACGAGTCACCGACCGTGACGCACCGGTCGTCGGACAAACGAACGTCAACGAGGGAGAAAAAGCACTTTCGCAAAAATGTCACGGGAAAAAGTTCCGCGCCAATGGGAGAACCGGAGAGAGTACAGCTTCTTCAGCCGCTCCACGGCGAGACTCTTCGATCCCGAATGAAATAACAGGGGCCGCGAGAGCTTCAATGAATGATCCTCGCTTTCGAGAGTGAAAAAACGAGTCGCGAACGACAGGATCGTCAACTACCGCCGACGAAAGTCTGGCCCCGACCGAGGCACTGCCGCGCGTCGAAATCCGGACGATTCGCGAGGAAAACTTTCCATCGAGTTTTCCGGCTGTCCATTGGAAATTACGAGAAAGTTGCTTCGGCAATCTGCCGACAAGCGTGGGCGTTAACAGCCGCCGCGTTATAGTCTGTGATTTCTCGTACGCGGTAAACAACGATAACGATCGACGAACTAAAGGACAGCTCGCGGCTCGCGACGCCCCGTTGTAACAAACAGGAAAACAATGCTTGCACAGTGTAACGCAACTATCCGTATGTCAGGCAACTTTGTACGGTGTTCCGTTGTTTCCAGATCGAGCAGACACAATCTAGATATACAGAGTGTTAAAGAAAAAAGAAAAGAAGGGTGGTTGAAGACTTTGTGCGGATTTACGAGTCGGTACTTGGCGGGAGGAATGAAAAAAGAAATGGCGAATCAACGTGTAGATCCAAAAGTCGATCCTTTCGACGGAAAATCGAATCTTCTTGGTATCCAAGAATATTCGATAATAGTATAATATTCGATATTATATAATATAATAATATTCTGATATTATAATTGATATTATAATATAATAATATATAATATTATATATAATATAATAATATTCTGATATTATAATTGATATTATAATATAATAATATATAATATTATATATAATATAATAATAATCTGATATTATATAATAAANAGGAGCCCTAACCCGATTCGGGCTTACGGCAAGCTCCCTGCTCTCCGACTCCCCTCTATAATCATAACCGAGGGCAATCTAGAATCGTTGCCCCCCTGAGGGCAAGGTGGAACACCGCGTAACCGTGACACAGGCCGACGACCGTCGACACGATCGTCGACGAGTCACCGACCGTGACGCACCGGTCGTCGGACAAACGAACGTCAACGAGGGAGAAAAAGCACTTTCGCAAAAATGTCACGGGAAAAAGTTCCGCGCCAATGGGAGAACCGGAGAGAGTACAGCTTCTTCAGCCGCTCCACGGCGAGACTCTTCGATCCCGAATGAAATAACAGGGGCCGCGAGAGCTTCAATGAATGATCCTCGCTTTCGAGAGTGAAAAAACGAGTCGCGAACGACAGGATCGTCAACTACCGCCGACGAAAGTCTGGCCCCGACCGAGGCACTGCCGCGCGTCGAAATCCGGACGATTCGCGAGGAAAACTTTCCATCGAGTTTTCCGGCTGTCCATTGGAAATTACGAGAAAGTTGCTTCGGCAATCTGCCGACAAGCGTGGGCGTTAACAGCCGCCGCGTTATAGTCTGTGATTTCTCGTACGCGGTAAACAACGATAACGATCGACGAACTAAAGGACAGCTCGCGGCTCGCGACGCCCCGTTGTAACAAACAGGAAAACAATGCTTGCACAGTGTAACGCAACTATCCGTATGTCAGGCAACTTTGTACGGTGTTCCGTTGTTTCCAGATCGAGCAGACACAATCTAGATATACAGAGTGTTAAAGAAAAAAGAAAAGAAGGGTGGTTGAAGACTTTGTGCGGATTTACGAGTCGGTACTTGGCGGGAGGAATGAAAAAAGAAATGGCGAATCAACGTGTAGATCCAAAAGTCGATCCTTTCGACGGAAAATCGAATCTTCTTGGTATCCAAGAATATTCGATAATAGTATAATATTCGATATTATATAATATAATAATATTCTGATATTATAATTGATATTATAATATAATAAT